CAACAAGTTTGACAACCAAAGCAATGCTGAATATTTGAAAGAGAGGTCTCAGATTCAGGAGCTCTTGCTGATTCTGGGCAAGTAAGGAGCTGGATACAGATGCACCATTTTTCATGCATACAAATAAGGAATTAATTGGACGAAGTTTATGATAATAGGCAAATTCCTTTTTGTGCTAATTTATATTGGGTGGAGATACAAACATGACAGAGGAAGTTAATAAGAATGAAGACTGCTTTACTGACATCTTCTGCTTATTAGGAGACAGATTCTTTAACTGTACCTTCTACATGGTACCTTCCTCCAGAAGTAGCTCCAGCAATTGGGCTCTTCACAGGGCTAAGGTACCATTCAACATAAAAGGTGGTAGAATCAGATGCTACTCATTAGGAGAAACAATTCTTTCATTCTGCATTTGCACTCCAGACATCATGAGCTCTGATGCAATAAACCCCAAGTTTTAACAACATCTCTAGAGAACACACCGAGGTACCACATGGGGAAGGTAAGCCTGAACAGTCCTATAGCCCATTTATATCAGTCCCTAGATTCCCAGACTATGGCTTATCTGCTCACAAACCCTACGCTATTTATTATTATTATTAATATGGTGATGTTGAATGCAGAGATTGATAGTGTGGCAATTTAGGGCATCTTATTATTCTGATCCTAGACTCCCAAAATTTTTCACACACAAAAGTTAGGGCTTAGCGAGGCACCTTGAACAGTGGCCTTATTTTCAAGAGTACTGAGCACTCTTCAGCCCCCATACAGGTCAGTGGGAGGGGGCAGGTGCTCAGGTGTAAGGCTCCTACTTCAAAGCCTAACATTAGACACCACTTGAGAAATTCTGACCTTGATGAGGTCAGCGAGAGTTTTGCCACTGGTTTCCATGGGGTTATTTGTCCTCCTTCCTATCTTGAAGTTCTTGACTAGAGAATTATCTCATGCAAAAGAATATAGGAAGGAGCAAAACTCACTGATGAAGATGGCAAAGCGATTGTCCTGAGAAGGTTTCACCGATGGGCTGTCCACCACATGCAGGGTGTAGCGAGGTTTCCTGCTGTCTTTATCATACAGGTCCAGGGAGACATGTCCTGCACTCGGGTTTTTGTTCAGCTGGTTGCGCAGCAGAGCGTAGTCCTGTCTCTCCCTCACTGCCTCAGCCAGCTGCTCAGCACTTTCTACTCGCACTGGCTTGTCCTGCTCATCGGCACAGATCTCAAGGATCCGTAGAGCCGAACCAGGGATCTTCTTGAATTTGGTCATGACATAGACGAAAACAGGCAGGATAAACTGTCCCCTGGCTTCTCCAACCTCACTGCTTGCAACCCGGTGAATACGCACCATCCAGCCTTCCTGGGAGAAGTAGGCCACTGCCTTCTTCACCACATGGGCCTGAGCCAAAGAGAAGCACAGGTAGCGGCCTCCAACCTGCAGAACCCGGGCAATCTCTCCAAACATCTTGTCCACCCTTTCCAGCGTGGTCTCCTCTTCATCAGTTAGGACAGCATCAAGGGTGCCTTTGTCCAACACCACCTGGAACTGGGCATCCTTGAAATCCATCTGCAGCATGTCCATCAGCAGATAACTCATCTTTGGCCTCCTGTCTGCATTGCGTTCCCTCATCTGATTGATTGCCACCTCGCTGATGTCAATGTTCATGAGGTCCTCATAGCCAACATCATACATTTGTTCGCTTAGTTCAGAGTTGCCACAACCAACTACGAGCACCTGAGAAATTTTAAGAAAGATAACAGGGCTACTTTCCTGGAAATACAAAACATATCCACTGGGCTAAACAGGACTAAGTGCTTTATAAACAGATGCCACAGAGATCTACCAATAGTGGAGTCTCTCCATGACAAACAGGGATTCTGGTTTTCTCCGATAAAAAAAAATCCCCAATTTTTCAATGAAAAAAAAAAAAAAAAAAAGTAACTCCAAATCCACATTCTTTTATGAATAAAATGAAATGCCACTAAGATACAGCTACTCCTTGCTTAATGTCATAGTTACATTCTTGAAAAATGTGACTTTAAGCAAAATGATGTTAAGCAAATCCAATTACATCACAGTAGTTAGATACTAGAAGGCAGCGGCCAAACAACGTTATAACCGAACACTGCATGACTTTACATCGCTGATCTATTAGAGAACATACTTGTTTAATAATCAAACGTTAACCGGGACAATGTTAAGTGAGGGGTACCTGTGTACACACACACACACACACACACACTTTAGTGGCGTTTCATTTTAATCATGGAAAAATTTGGATTTTGGGTTACTTTTTAAAATCCAAAAATAGGGGATTTTTTCTTTTTTTTTTTAAATCAGAGAAAAGCAGGAACCCTGGTGATAAATTTACCCATCACTTACAAACCAACTCTTTGTGATAAACATATTAAGAGGCAACTCACCACATACCTCCACAGAGAACATAGCCAACATGTATATTTTAAACACCCCCACTGGTAAGCTGGAGTGGCAGAAATACTTAACAAATATGCCGTCTGAAGAGAGCTGAAACCCAACTGCAGGTCCAACTTGAAGAGACAGACTACAAGCACCTGAGCTAAAGTTTGGCTAGGATAAGAGGATCGATGTCATCTCCCTGGAACCCCCTACTCCTACCAGAAATTTCCCAGGATGAGTTATGAGTGTTTACCTGCTTGTCAGTATCTTTCAACAGCAGCATAGGCAGGAGGCAAAACAGGTGATAACTTGAAGGGGATCCTTACCTGGACGAAGTGAAAAGGGCCCAGAGGGCTCTGCCCTGAAGCTACCTCCTAGCTTGGGGATTCCTACCCACCCCAGGGAGGATGGTGGGGAGCCCTCCTGTTCCCCACTGAGTCGGGGCCACTTCAGGTTTCCAACCAGCCCTTGGTTTTGTTACTGGGCTGCATCCAGGTGGGGTTATGAAGCAGCGGTTGCTTCAGCCGCAGTGTGCAGGACAGCAGCAGAGCCGAGAACCTGCTACACCTCCTCCACCGTGTCCAGAGAGTCAAGGCCCTATGCCACGGAAAGAAAACCAGAGTTGCTTGGCACCGGCTGCGCCCTGCCCTCCCCTGCTCACCTTGTCTCGGGGCTTGATGTACTTGTGCAGCACCCCGCACAGCTCCAGGTAGGTCCCGTACCACTCGAAGGCTTTCTCCCCTCGCTGCTGGAAGAACCGCTCCCAGTACTGGGCAGAACCGAACTCCTTGGTGCTCTTCGGCAGCAGGTTCATGGTGAGGCCGCCGGGAGCCGCAGCTCGCACGCGGGTGGGCGGGGGGAGGGAAGGGGACCACAGGGCAGCTACGATCACAGCCCACACTCAGAAGCACCCCTACGCTCGCGCCGCGCTGTCCCAACACTCGATCTTGGAATGTTGAGACTGTATCCGGGTTCGGTATCTCCCCATTGGGTCCGTTTCTCGCAGCTGATTGAACGTTTCTTTGTTCCGGCTCTATCCCTATTGGC